ATGTGTACGCCGAGGAGCACCCCGTTAGGCGTACGCTACTGCGGGACGGAGCCCACGACGGAGTAGCGCCTCCGCTGTGTGCTCCGGACTGGTATATAGCCGAAGACAGGAGCACCCATTCAACTCCGGCTTATACCTGCAGCGGAGGTACCCGCTGCCCGGTGTTGTCGCTCGGAGCTCCGAGGCAAAACTGAGTCAAAGCGCCTGCTCCGGAGGGGCTTTTATACCCCCCGGACGCAGGCGCGCGGGGAGAGGCGGCGGGGGCAGGCGCGGCGTTGCCGGCTGCCGCCGACGCGGCAACCGCGCGTTATCGATTTTCCAGCCACAGCTGGTAGTGCCGTCTCTCTCTAACAGCCGCGCCTCTATTTCTTTCTCTCTCGCTCCCGGAATTTCGGATTCCGGCTGCGCCTCCCCGGTCGCCTCCGTTACACCCCCCCCCTTCTTTCGGAGAGCGGAATTTCCGGATTTCCGCTCTTCGAAAATTTTGACTACTTACGATATTACGGCAACAGACGCTTCGACCAATGGCGCACCGTCCCGGTCTTCGGATCAAGACGGAGCGCATATTTTATCTTCCCGATCCGGGTGCGCCAGCGTTTCACGCCGACGGGCACCCGGATCAAGCACCCGTCGACCACGACGTCCTTCTCCTCCCGTGGTGTTGTGCGGGCGATGTAGAACGGGTCGCGGGGCATCCGCGGCATCGTTCCACCTCCACCGGAGGAAGCGGCGCCGGCTCTTGCGTGATCCCGGGCCGGCACATGCCCGGGGGTGGCAGGGGTTGCCACAGCGTACGGGACGGCCGCGGTGATCGGTCCCTCGGTGGCGGGCGTGAGGGGTGGAGCGGTCGGAACGGTGGTGGTGCCGGCGATCCCCTTCACGGGCGGAGCAGCTGGGGCAGCGGCCCCGGCTGCGGAGATGGCGGAACTTCCCCCGTCGTCCGGAGGCCTGATGAGCCGGAACGTGTGCCGAGGGAACACCTCGATCAATTTGATGGTGGGCCCGCTAGCCCGGGCGGAGGAGGAAACGGTGGCGTTTGGCGGCACATTCTCCTCGTCCGAGAGGCTCACCATCGGGATGTTCTCCGGTGGCCGTCGTGGTTCCGCGAGTCCGCGGCGGATCATTTCCGTCGTGTTCCGGATGCGGCGGGTGACCACCCTCTTCCAGAATTGGCCCCCGTCACTCCCCCTGGAGCCTGGTGGTCGGCTCGACGTCATCCCGACCAGCGGCGGTCTAGCGGGCGGCACTACTTTCCGCGGAAGCGTCGGCGTTCGCGAGGTCGGATCCGTCATCTCGGAAAATCGGAGCCGTACTGATTTTTCCGCGTCCGGCTCGCGAATTTTTATATCGGAAGCGCGTGGGTGGAGGGGAGAGGTCGAGCGGTCAACGGTCGGGGACTTCGGAGAAATACAGGCTCCGGAAGCAATTCGGAGAAATACAGGTGCCGGAAATAGTTCGGAGAAGTACAGGCTTCGGAAGTAGGTCACGCGAAGTACAGGCCCATTATTGATCGATCGCTTTCAGGTCGCGTATGTGTACGCGTGCCACGGCTTTCTTGCCGTCGGTGGTGTGTAACTCAAAAATTACAGGCGATCGCACCCGGTGAATGACATACGGCCCCTCGTATTTTGCTGCAAGCTTTGTATTAAAATTGTCCGCTTTGCTGGATAATTCGTGCGTCCATTTCAATACATTTTCCCCCACTCGGGGCTTCCATTCTCGGCGCCGGAGATTATAGTGGTGCTGTTGCCGCTGGAAACTTTGCTCCAATTTAACTCTTGCGAGTTCTAATGCTTCATGCAACTGCTTAATTCATGACTCGCGATCCTCTTGCTCCATGTTGACGGTTTTTTGCCCTACGTTTCCGGACGGTCGTAATTCTCGGCCGTAGTTGAGATACGCTGGTGTATAGCCCGTCGACTCGCAATGTGCGGTGTTGTATGCATATGCCAGTTCTGGGATAAAACGATCCCACTTTTTCTGTGATTTCTCTATAGTTTGAGCAATCATGGTTTTTATTACCTTGTTTGCTCTCTCCACAGGATTGCATTGAGGAGCATAAGGCGGTGTTAACCGGTGCGTTATATTATACTTTTCTAGGACGGCTTTTACATCGGTCGAAATGAATTGCCGGCCGTTATCTGTAATTAGTTTTTGCGGACAACCATGGCGCAGGAGGATCTTTTCCCGGAGAGCTTTTGCAACCGCACTTCCCGTGGCTTTCCTTAGCGGTTGTAACTCGATCCACTTAGTTAATTTGTCCTGAAAAACCAGGAGCCAGGTATTTAGATTTTCGGATCTCGGAAGCGGTCCGATCAAGTCTGCGGCCACTATTTCCCATGGTTCCTTTACGTCGAGCGCGTGTAATTTTCCGGGCGGTTTTCGCTGGTCCGTTTTGAATTTTCGGCAGCTGTTACAATTGCGCACATATTGTGCGGCCTCCCGGAACATTCCAGTCCAATAATACTCCTTCGCGAGGCGTACTATGGTCTTCGCGACGCCTAAGTGTCCTGCCGTTGGATCGTCGTGATTTTGATGTAACACTTCCGCTTTCTGATCGCTGGGGACGCAGTTTTTCCATTGCTGTGCCTCGGGAGTGTCATTGTAGTCAAGCGTGTGTAGAATGTGCCGACGGAGCTGGCCATTCTCTATACGGTAGTCAGGATTTAAGTCAGGATGCTCTTCTACTTCTTGGTACTTTCTGGCTGTACCAATCGGACGTCGGAACTCCCGTTGCACAGATTTCA